ATATATATATATATATATATAAACTAAACGAACTCTATGGTTATACGGCAGTGAAGCATCAGTGCCAACACTGCTGTTGCTGTCATTGATGATGAAGGCAAGCTCTGATTGGTCGAAAATAGGGACCCAATAGCCAATCACGATTCAGTATCCGCTGAATACCGGTTACAAATGCTGCGTCCAGGGAGCATCCAAATTCCCATAATGTTACCGGTACATAGACGACGACCGCTTGTACCTGGTTTTTTACCTGTTTTTGAGCGTTTAATACACTTTGTGTACCTTAGCTGGCTCTGCTGAAAACGCCAGCTCGAGTATTTAGGTGCCGATAGGCAATCCATAATGTTACCATAGTACTGCCCAACCGATAAGCTTGACCCTAATCCCTTGGATTTGGTAGCCGGACTTCTATGTAGCAGCTATGAGAATAGGAAACGCATTGAAAGGATCAAAGCGGACAACTAGACCACCGTCATTCGACGGTATGATATGATACCTTAGTGGTAAACACCGCGGACTTCCCGGGTTCGAATCCATGCAGAGGCGAACTTAGATTGGCTGCCATCCCAGGTCTTGTTGCGTTAAGAAAGGCATAATAGACAATTTCAACACTTCCTACGCCAGGACCTGTTGGGACCAGGATCAACTCTTGTCTAGGCGTAACACACTACTCAAGAAGACACTAGGACCGCTTCGACAGCTCGTGACAGGTTCAGCTGGTAGGCGTAGTCCCCAAGGTTCTCTCAACTCCCCAAAGTTTCTACATGAAACCAAATTAGACGGATTTCGGCATATACTCTCATTTGCACACGAATTTGGTTTTGACAGAAGACATAACTGGATCCAGCTGAATCTCAAAACCAAATTAGCGTGGAAATGATAGCACTTGTAAGGACCACTTCTTCTTTGTATATTCGAGTTTGTGCAACGACAAAACCTTACACCACAGGCTGACAGCAGTACTGACTAAATGTCGGAACTATCGAAAATTTCAAAAGATTGGCCACAGAGTCATAACGCCGCCATAGAGTAATTGTGGTAGCAAAGCTTATACTTGATGGTTCATCATCATCATCATCATCATCAGAGACAACATCAGTTT